AGTAATAAAACAATAAAATAAAAATAATAAAAATCAAGAGAATAAATCTAAAATAATAGTGCTAGCAAGTAAAGAATTTAAGTAAACAATTAAAAGTTTAAACAATTCAAAATATATTTATCAGCTAATAAGTAATGTCAAAATCAAAAATTAAAATCAAGATTATTTTAAAAATTAAAAATTCAAAGATAGAAGGTAATTGGGTGTGATAAATTAGGGAAGTGGATAAGTTGTCATACTCCCAAGTGGTAGGTTGTGAGTTTAAAACCCACCAATAGTGAAATTTGAATAATTATCTATATAATATATAGATAGTATTACAGTGACAGCATTTGTCAATTAGTTAGAATAGGATACCTGTAATTATGGCTGCACCAGCATGACTGGCAGGTTTAGGGCATCAGTGTAACCTGTTACATGAAGGAATGCAAACCAGTACCAGGTAGTACAAATCTAAAATAAGTACTTAGGCTATGTAAATTTGTAAAACTGAAAAGCCAGAACCAACTTGAAAATTCTAAGCAAAGAGGTAATATGGATCTTCAACAGTACTACTGTAAAGGCTAAATCTAGGAAATGGATACTAATGTGAAGGATTCAGGTGGGCAAGAACCTCAGGTGAGAGGTACTACCAATCAGGCCACCAGATTTTGAACTAGAGAAAAAAGATATTGGGCCAGCCTCAATATACCAAGAACAGGTTACAGTCCTTTTAGACTATCTGAATTGGGAGTCTGGGTTCAAAGCAGGAATATACTAAAAGTACTAGGGATATGCTAAAAAGTCAGTACTAGGGTCTGAGTGAACTCTGTAAGGGTAGCCTGTATTAGTGTTCTAAAAGTGAGTAGATAGTTAACAACAGGAGGCCCCCTGTGCCTTACTGGAAGATAATATATTCTGAAATGTATAATAGCCTAGGAACCAGTACAAAAAGGGTAGGTAACCATACTGCTCAGATGGTATACCAGTTAGGTATAAATGGAGGGTAAGTTGGGGATTTCAATATGACAGAAGGGATGATTAGAAGGTTTAAATAGATAATCTCCTAGTAGGTTATAGGTACAGCATCTAGTATAGAACCTTAGGATGGACTGCTTAAATAGGCAACCAAAAGTTGTATGTGTAACTAGCTATACTTTTATTTTTGTAAAAATAGTTGTAATAGCTAACCTAATATAAAGTTATTAAAGTATTGCCACAAATATGGCCTTTAATAAAAAAAAAAAAAAAGATAGAAGGTAAAAGCATAAACTTCTTTAATTCCAAAATACAAAATACAAAATACAAATACAAAATACAAAATACAAATACAAAATACAAAATAATTCAATTCAATTTGAGTTAGTAGAGGTATATCTTTAATACTAATTTCAAAATTTCAAAATGCTTTTCTACAATTGTTGCTTCCAAAATAAAATCCTTTTTAGAGAAAAATTGTTTTTTGGAATAATTTTCTTAAGAGAGGTTTTTGTTCTTTTTCTGAGATAAATTTTTATATTTCTGCTAGAAGATACCAAAATGTTACAGAGTTGTAGCCTTTTTGGTACAATACAACCAAGTAACAAGGTTATCCAGTATAGTGATTAACTATTGCAAATATATACAAAGTGGAGGTGTAGTAGTTTACTTTACTACATAGCAGCAGGCAAACAGTTCAAGATAGTAACAGTATATAGATTAACTTTTATTAAATAAATACACAGTGACGACCTTGCCTATAGAAATTACCCTAAAGAGCGAATATCACTTTTACAAGTTAGAGATAAAGATAGAAGTGTCTAGGTTAAAGTATAAGAACTTAAAATTGGCAGGGAAAGGTAAAAGCTACCCTTTATATATCTTTTTATTTAGCAAATATAGTAGAGATTTGAGCAACATTACTTGATACTATACTTGGAGTAATGGGTATTCAAACCATATTAGATATCATTGTACTTGGAATAGTGGAGGTTTGAACAACATTAAATAATACTGTGCTTGAAGTAGTGGGGACTGTGCAGAGACAACTAGAAATATTGTTTATATTATTTGTTATTTGTGCTTGAAACACTTGAAACTTGTATTTAGACACTTGGATCTGTGCAAGGATACTTGGGGTTCATATAGGAACACTTGAGGTTTGAGTTGAAGATACTTGGGATTCTTGTACTGCTGCACTTGCATAGTAATTTGGTGCTAAGATATATAAAACTTGTACAGAGATACTTGGAGTTTGTGAGATGATAGTAACATCACAAATGTTACTCAGTGTCATGTGGCTGTATCACATTTTTAATAGCCAATTAAAATCCTTTTATCTATCTACTATATAATATAACTATTGACTAACTAATAACTAATAATAAATATAATATAAAATACAATAATAAATATATATATAATTATTAATACTACTATATAATATACTATGCTAAAATCTACTTTGTAACAATATAAGCTATATCAAGATGCTATGGCAATTATGAGAATAGCTAAAAAATTTAACCTATTTATTACAGTAACTTGCAATTCAAATTTGTCTGAGATTAAAAATGCACTTCTTTTAGGACAAACACCACCTGATCATTCTAATCTAATTAGTCAAGTTTTTAATATAAAATTAAAAACACTTTTAAATAATATTTTGAAAGAAAATATTTTTGGATCAGTTACAGGCTATGTATATACAATAGAATTTCAAAAATGTAGCCTACTCATGCTCATATTCTTATTATTCTTGTATATGAATACAAGCTCCAAACTGTTACTAACTATAATGCAATTATATCTGCTAAGATCTCCAATAAAGATGATGATCCTGATTTGTTTAATACTGTTTAACAGACAATAATTCATGGACTATGTAGTTTATTTATAACAAATGCTCCATGCATGAAGAATGAAAACTGCTTCAAGAAATATTCATAAAGCTTTCAGGAAAGTACTATAAAGAATAAACATAGTTATCCTGTATATAGATATAAAAATAATGGTAGCACTGTAAAAGTAAATGGGTTTCAATTAGAAATCATTAGGTTGTATTCTATAATCCTTATCTTATATTTAAATATAACTGTTACATTAATGTAAAAATTTGTTTATCAATTACTGCTATAAAATATCTTTTAAATACATTTATAAGGGACCTGATCATGCAACTATTGAAATTAGAAGAAACAATACAAATAATCAGACAAATAATGAAATAAGACTTTATCTTGATGCTTGCTATGTTTTAGCATTAGAAGCTTTATAGAAAATATTTTACTATCAATTACATAATGAGAAGCCTAACATTATACAATTATATATTCATCTTCCAGGTCAACATAAAGTATTATTCAAAAATGATAAGTCTTTAGAAGATATAGTTCAACATTCAGCTATAAAAAAGACAACTCTTACAATATGGTTTCAGAAAAATACAATATATCTAGAGGCAAGAAGCCTTACTTATGCCAATTTTCTATCTCAATGGACCTATAATATACAGGCAAAAAAATGGAAACTAAGATAGCAAGAATATACTATTGGTCATATGTATTTGTTTATTCTGCAGAAAGTGAATGATATTATCTAAGAATGTTACTTAGTGTAGTTGTTGGTTCAACTTCCTTTGAAGATATTCATACAATAAATAGAATTACTTATTATTCTTTTAGAGAGGCATATATTGCTTTAAACCTATTACAAGAAGATGAAGAGTGGGATCAATGCTTAACAAAAGCTAAGCAGATGCAATTAGATGCACACTATGCAACTTATTTGTCACTTTGCTCATATTTTGCAACTCATTAAGACCTGAAGCACTTTGAGAAAAGCATATTTATGTACTTAGTGATAATATACTCTTTCAAACCTGTTGTGATACTGGAAATATAGCTTTTGAACTTAGAGATACTGATATACAAAATAGAGCTCTTCTTTATTTACAATCTATCTTAAGTAAACATGAAAGATGTCTTGAGGAGTTTTCATATATGCCTATTCCAATTGCTAATACTAATACTGAACAAAATAACCATCTAATTAGAGAAGAGCAACAATATAATATTGAAGAACTTGCAGAGATTATTGAAAAAGAACTTCCCTATTTAAATATAGATTAGTGAGCCATATTTGATGAAGTTATAGCAGCTGTAAAAACAAAACACCTGCTGTTTTTTTTGTAGATAGTCCAGATAGAACTGGAAAAATATTTCTCTACAAGTAAGAAAAATTTTAATAATTTATTGATATCAGTTCTTCTTAAATGCAAAAGAATATTTATATAATATAAGTATATGAAGATTTATAATTAATAACCAAATCAAAGATTATATTAAAACTTCTAATTGAATATAAAATTTGCTTAAATTAAAATATAATATAGAATCTTGCTAGATTATATTCATTTAAAAAAATATATAGCTTTTGCTATAGCTTTATTGAGTATTGCTGCTCTTCTTTTATCAAGTGGTCAAACTGCTTACTCTATATTCAAAATACCTTTTAATATACATGAAGACTCTATATATTCAATAACACATGGTTCTGATCTTGCATTACTTCTGCAGAATGCATGCCTCATTATCTGGAATGAGGCCCTAATAACACATTAACATGGGTTTGAAGCTGTAGATAAAACTTTAAAAGATCTTATAAAAACAGTAAACCTATTATTAGAAACAAAGCTATTTTAAGGTAAGGTTGTAGTGTTTGGTAAAAACTTTTGTTAAATTCTTTCTGTGGTAATAAAGGGTGGTTGAAAAGAAATTATAAGATCTTGTTTATGACAATTAGCTTTGTAGAGGCACATCAAAGTAATGTCATTAAAAATTAACATGCATCTTCTTTATAATGCAAATAAACCAGATGCAGCTGAACAAGAAGAATTTGCTAATTGGCTACTTAAAGTTGAAGAAGAGCATATTCCTACTGTTGATGAAATGAAGTGCAATATTATTCAACTTTCTAAAGATATTATTTTGTCATTTCAAGATATAAATACTTTGATTTATTTTATTTATCCTAATCTTTCTGCAAGTTCTGATTCTCAATATTTAGTCAAATATGCAATACTTGTTTCAAAAAATGAACATGTTAATGCTATTAATACTGCTATTATGACTCAGTTTCCTGGTAAAGCAATCAAATATCTTAGTACAGACACAATTGAAAGTCAAACAGACTCTAATTATTAGTATCCAACAAAGTTTCTTAATTCTCTTATTATTAAAGATTTTTCTTCTTATAAATTAACATTAAAGTTAGGATTTCAGATTATATTATTGTAAAATATTTATCTACCTGATGGTCTTTGCAATAGAACTAAATTAGTTTGTCAATCTTTTTAAAAACATATAATTGAAGCTAAGATAATTACTGGAAAGCATGCATTTCTTTCTCATGTTACCTTATTACTTTTAAATATTAGTCTACTATTGATCTTTAAGTGATGCCAATTTCCAATACAACCTGCTTTTGTAATGACTATTAACAAATCTTAAGAACAAACATTAAATTAGGTTAGTTTGCATCTTCCAACTTCTGTTTTCTCTCATAGACAATTGTATGTTGCCTTTTTAAGAGTTACATCTAAAAGAAATTTAAAAGTACTTATTTGTAAATAGCAAAAAAAAGAAGTAAACCATATTGATTATATATATAATATTGTATATCCAGAATTATTCCAATAAATCATAATAAACTTTTTAATAAAGGAACTTTAATTCATAATATTTAAGCATAATTAGAATACCTGACTAAAATGAACTTTCATCTATTATTTATTTTTTTTAAAAAAATGTAAACTCTTTCTCATTATAAGATCTATTTAAATTTATTAACAAATGCAAAGCAAAATAAATTATCTTAGTAAAAAAAATATATATTATGTTAAATAATCAGTCTATTAATTTATATATAAATAATTAATACTATGCTTACTTTATAAAAATATAGTCTACTTTATAATTGACTAATATTTTTATTTAATTTTATATTATTTATACAGTTTAATGATTTTATAAAACTTTATTATCAAAAATAATCAAAAATTTTTTATGCTTAAAGAAATTAATATAGCAATAACTTAGCTTTATCTATTTTTAAAAAGTTATTGTTATGCTAACTTCTTTAAACAAGAAAAAATTTTGATAGTGAGTTCTATAATACTAATAAAACTTCTTATTACTTTGTTTTTTTTTATTATCTTTAGTTTTATTTTTTTGAAGATGATTTTAAACTATATAAATAATGTAAAATTAAATAAAAATTATCAACTAATTATAAGAAGGTCTTTCTATAACTATGTATCTTTATATTATTAAAATTGATTGACTAAAAATTTATAAGCAATTTATCTAAAACAGTTACAAGAAGCTTTTTAAGATAAAGCACAATAAAATTAATTAAATATTTGGTTTTTAAATTTATACTACATTTGGTTTTTTTATTTTAACTATTTACTAACTCATTCTATTTTACATTTTACTATATACTGTTTTGCTAATAGTTTAAAATTATTAAATTTATATACTTTAATAAAAACATTATATTAGACATAAATAACAGATAATTATCATTATAGATCAATTTTAAGAATATTGATATCTATAATTATGTAAGATAATATTATGCTATTTGATATTAGTAGCTTACATAAAAGATTTTTTCTGTTATATAATTTTTAATTAATTAGATTAAAAGATCAGATATAATATAAACTTAAAACAATTAAATTAAATAAAAAATTATATATAGTACTCTATATGATTTCAATAATTTTAATAAATTTTATTATTTAATAACTTTAAAATATTAGCGAAGTGATAGGTCATAGCTAGTTATTTATTAAAATTTTATTATTTATACATTAATCTTATAATTTATATTATTATTTTCTAACTTATTAGTATAATATTAAAAAATATTTAATAAAAAAAAACTTTATTATAAAAAATTTTTTAATCTAAATAACAAGCTTTTTATAAAAAAATATTAATAATCCTTATTTTATAAATACTGAATAATGAATATTTAAGTATTAATTTTTTTTATTAAATTAATTCTTTATTTTTAAACATCTTATACAAAAATGTAAATTTAATAAAATTTTAGAATTTTTTATTAATTTTAATAATAAAACAAATAACTATTTAAATTTTTAAAAAATAATATATTTAATTATTAAATAAAAGCATTATTTTACAATAACAGATTATTATAATAACTCTATATAATTGACTAATCAAAATTAAGCATATAACTATATAATAAGTTGTTTACTTTTAACCAACTAAAATTAGTTACAAATTTTCCAAATTTTATAATAAAAAAAATAAAAAATAAATTTTACTTATTTAAATATAATTGGTTACTATATATAGAGTCACTGTTTATAGTTTTTTATTAATAAAATAAATATAATTTTAATTTTAATGTGATAACAATTTATATTACATTATTACAACTATGACTTTTTTAAGAAATTACAAATTCAATATTTTGTTCTGAATAAAATAAAGAAAATAAACTAAATATAATAAATATTAAAAAGATAAAAGAGTTAAAAATTATAAAAATAATAAAATTTAAATAATTTATATCTAAACTATAAATTATATATTACTAAAACACTTAAAATTAAAGATATATTAACTTAGTAAAGTAGATAAGTTGTCAACCTCCCAAATGATAAGTTATAAGTTCAAAATCTACTGATAGTAAAAATTTAAATAATTACCTATGTAATTATATATTATAATAACTGTTTCTAAGATTGGGTTATGATATCTGTAATTATAATTATTTCAACATGACTGGCAAATCATGGAATATCTGTGTAACTAGTTATACAAAAGAATGCAAACTGATGTCAGGTGATGCAAACCCAAGATAAGTCCTTGTAACTATATAAATTTGTAGAAATTGTAGAATAAAAAACCTATTTGGAAAAACCTAATTAGAAAGTTAATACAAATCTTAATAGTACTATTGTAAAGACTAGACCTAGTAAACAGATACCAATGTCAAAGTAACTAGACAGGCAAAAATCTTTAAATTGAAAGTCTTGAAGGTATTACCAATTAGATTACTAAATTAGATTAGAAAAAAAGAATATCAGGCTAACCTAATATACTAATAAACTAGTCATAATCCTATATAGTCTATTTGGATTAGAAGTTTGATAAAAAAAATAAAAGTATACTAAAATACTAGAAATATGCTATAATGCAAATATTAGAATCTAAGTAAATTCTATAAAAACATAGCAGTTTAATGGTTAATCCTAATTGCAAGTATTAGTTCTGCTATAGTGATATATAAATCAATTGTAAAAATGAATATAGAAGTTCTAAAAGGTTTATCTTAAAGATAAAATAGTTCTAAGGTTGAAATGATAATCTGAGCTTAATTCAGTAATGTTAACACAAGTATAGGTTCAAAGAGTTTAAGATAAAACACCTAAACAGAAGAGTAGATATAACAATTAGTAAGAAATATTAGGTGAACTTCTTAAATAGGTAATATAAAAAGTTACACAAGTGACCAATTGTATGCTCTTTCTGTAGTAGTTCTTTATGAAACTACATTTTTAAAAATATGTTAATAAAATCAAAAGATCAAAGAAGTCATTTTAATACCAAAAAAAAATAAAACACTTAAATTATACAAGACAAAAGATAATACAAAATTAAAGATGAGCAAAATCTGTAAAAAGCAGTTTACAAAATTATAAAAAATAATAACAGATATTAAAACATATAAGAAAAGTATAACAAATCCTTAAATATAAAAAGAATACAATTATCATATAAAGTTTTTGCAATAAAAATTTAAAATATAATAATAAAGTAAATATGTTGTAAGTTTTGCTATTAAAAAAATATTTTTAGTGTCAGTATTATAATATATGTATATTAAATTACAGTATTAAGTACATTACTATTAAATTTTACACAAGATCTACATGATAGCAGAAGTCGTCCAGTTGCTGTTGGGGTAATTAAATTTAACATTGATGAGGTAGTTCTGTTTCTAAGCACAGTTTATAGATTTCCTAAAAAATTAACTAATCACCAAAATGTTGCAATCATGTGAAATTTTTGTTGCATAAACAAATCAGATTTCAATTAGAAAAATTCAAAACAAAAGTTCACTTTGTTAAAAATTATTTATTGCTCAAAACGCAGCATAAACAACCACCTATAGCTCTAACAAAAAGTTTCCTCGACTGATCTTACTATTAAGCCTCATCTAACTCAAATATTAGCATAAACCCTAGTCTTTGCTTGACTGAACATTTTGGTGGCAATGTTGCACCTAAAGTAGTGATTTATCTAAAGTAGCACCTGGCTAAAATTAAACCCCTGAAATTAGATCTTCATACATGCATTAAGTTATAATTTTAGCCAGGACACTACTTTTGATGCGACAGCGATCCCGAGGAAGATCAAAAATCATGTGATTCAGTGCACTGCAAAATGACCTGCATTAAACTAATCAACACACTTGGCCTGCATTAAAGTTAGGATTGGTATTATGGCATATCAAAATGTGAGGCTAGTAATGCTAGTATAAAAAATCTCGCACATTATGTGATCCTGTTAAAAAAAATTTCACTAAGAAAAAAACCTTTCGCATTAGTTTAGGGTTAGAGTTCTACCAGTAAGTTAGTATTGGGTTTAAAGGGCTATATTTATAGTAAAATTCTCAAGAAAAATTTTTTTGTTAGTACGCAGAAGGCACTTTTATAGGCAAAATTTTAAGATATAATTTTTTTGCTCTTCTTTTACATTACACCTGATCCCGAAATTTAATTAGCTATTAAAATTTTTTAAATTAATATTTTAAATACTGTTATATCAAAAATTATCCAATTGTTAATTATAATTTGGTGTAATGTAATGCAATCAAGAAAGTTCAAAACAACCATTTGTTTTCAAAAATCATTTATTTCTCAAAAATTTGCATAAAAAATCACTGCATGTGCATTAACAAAAAGGTTTCCTTGAATGATTTTGTTATTTGAACTTCTAAAATTCTATTTAAACATAGACCTTACCCTAACCTAAAGAATTTTCGGCAATGTTACGTTACTGCAAAATTTTGATGTGTTTTGATTGATCACATGATTTATACTACAATAGGTCAGCTCGGTGGATTTTTTCATTTTTGGATAATGCCAAAGAACCTCCACAACCTGGATTTGACTTTGTATCAATGGATATAATAGCTGAATTAGAATTTTTTAAATAAATCATATTAAAGTTTACTACATACTGTGTAATGTATGTTATGTGTTATTTTAAAATTTTGTTCATTTTTTATCAACACGTCATTTCATGTTTAATTTATAAAACTAAACCAAAATTCAGTTACTAAATTACCTGGAAAAAATCTAGTATTATTTTATTAATAGTTAAAATTTTCAGATCTTGGAGTATCTCAGTTCGGTAATTTAGGATCTCTAATTTCTTCCACTAGTTATGATTTGAAATGTGTAAATGCCTAAACCTATTTTCGCATCCTGACAGGAAATTACTTGCAAAAGTTTAGTATAATATACATTAGCATACATGCCACTATTTGATCAAATCAAAAATTTCAAATTAAAAGCAGGATTTCTATTTATCAAATACGTAGTAAAAACTGAGTAATTGTAATTATTAAATTGTACTTGCAGATTCATAAGTTACAATTTACTGACCGTAAATCAGGTCATTTGAAATCGACCTAAATAATGAAATAACTCAGAACATGCAGTTTCATTATTAATTTTTTTTTTTTAAGAAAAATGAATTACATGCTGTTTGTTTGACGAATCAGGTAATCAACTATATATGGTTTTTTTTTTTAAAAAAAAAAAAAGATTTACTTATTTAACATGAATTAGGTTTCATATCAATTTTTAAAACCCATTGTTCCAAGTTATTAAGGATGGGATTGATTGACTTAACCTTTCGAAAGGTTTTTGTATCATTATCACGTATTATAATGTCCTGATATTTGAAAGTACTGTAGATATCATCAGGAACAACAAAAAAAAACCAAATCTTTGCATTTTTATCTTTTGTACGGGCAGGCATATTTGTGACCAAGTTTGAAAGTTCAGCCTGCTTGATAGGATGTCGTTGAGAAACCGTTACTTGAAAAATATCATTGGGAGTGATGAATAGATCTGCAGCACCAAAATTGGATTTCGACGGTAGAATAATTTTATACTCTTCATGATTTAAAAGCTCATTTGGAGTCAAGATGTATTCAATTTTTGGTTGAGGTATTATTGTGTAAATTTTCGTATCAGTGGTGCATTCATTTGTTTTGCCCTAAAACACAAAACAAACCAATTTAATTGACAAATCCTACTAATTTTACGAAATATGCAATTTTTTATTAATTTTAAACTTCAAATGTATGTAGTAAATTATCATGTAACTGACTTACATTGTATTCCTCTAATTTCCTCATTTCAAAACAACGGTCTCCACAGCTGAAAAGATGAATTACATATAGTTCTAGCATTATACCTCTTACACTAGGGTATGACTTATGGGTTTGAATTTTCTCTAATAAATCATCCCATGCGTGAGCTTCTAATTTTTTCTAAATTTCATCAAATATAAAATTTGAACCCCATCCTAAATGGTAACTGTCATAAGTAACATTCGGCCATCTGTGGATTAGGCGATTGCTTATATGGATACTTTCGGTTTTTTCATTGAAGAACTTTAAAATGTCGGAGAAGTCACTTATTTCTAAGATAGCATCTGAAATTCGCTTAAAAGATAACCTCAAAATTTCCTCTTTTCCTAAGATTGTTTTTGGGTCGTGATATTTCATTGCTTCTTCCATTCGTTGAAATATATACCTTGGAATGCCGCCCGCTTTATTATATAGTTCCATCATAATATCAATGGGTACTGCTGGGAAAACATGTTCCTGACAAATTAATAACTCCTCAAGGGACCAAGGACCCATGTAAAATCTTTTAACTATTATCTTATCGAATTCTTGAAATTCGTCTCTTTTAATACTTCTAGGGGACAAAGCAATTACTGTTTTGGCTTCTACATCTTCAGGTGTCAATACACTGTCCACTAGATGCCATATGCTGTTATGATTAAGATACTCTAAAAAGTCCTCGAAATTTCCCATTTTAACTTCATTATTATCGATGTAGTAAAAATTTTGACTTTTTTAAAAGATAATAACAATCTTGTCGTATTCACACAGTAACCTAATTAATAATTAAATCAGGAAATATGATTTACCTATTCCAGATGTTCCAGTGATGATAAACTTATGGCGAGTAATAAGTAGCGAGTTGTATATTAATAAATGATAAATGTCTTTGTATTCATTCCGAACGTAAAGTGATGATTTGTTTATAATAGGAAATGGCCCATCATTACTCTTTATAATACATAGTAATGCTTCATACTCCAAAGCTAGTGGTGTTATATCACTTTGATTGATCTGAACGGTATCTTGAATATCATGACATTGATTATCGTCCTGAATATTACTTTGGTTATCTTGAATAATGCAGAGTGGCATCATTTCTATTTTTCTTTTTTTGATGGTAGATTCTTTAGGAAAGCGATCTAATTTATGCAAAAAAATCAATACAAAAAAGATCATTATAAACCAAACTCAAAAATTTAATTAAAAAACAACACATGATATAAGCCTTTACAGTAGACCAAACTCGAAAATATATGGTTTAAAAGACAGCTTATTCAGACTGATCCTAAAACTTCCTAGAATTTTTTTTTTATACAAGCCCTTTTGACTGCATGTAATTATTACCTTTATCCTTCGACATATGTTTTGCGACCTTTAAAACGTTTTCAAATGAAGGATCTAATAAAAAAAGAAAATAAAAAGCGATGAATAAAAAAAATATTATTACATACTAATAATACACATCTTTTTTATTAAAGTTTACCTTTTTTTACTTTTGATTTATTTTGTGGTTTGGAATTTTCTTTGTTCTGAATAATATATATATATAATAAAAATTGATACGGTTAACAAATATTGTTAAGTAGTAATATCCCATCCTGAATAATATGTTTCTTATTACAAGAAAGTTGAGAAGGTAAGAACTAATCCCTCCTCCAGAATTAGCGATCCTTTTCTAAAGAAACTTATTAGATTCCCTTTGCTGACGTAGAATGACAGTTCACTGTTAAGTGGTCGATCCAGGGGAATCACCTCCGTCACCTTTGGTGATCTCACAAAGGCAAGCTAACTATTAAACAGTCAGAAAGTATTACTCACATCATTGTTCTGTTTTTGTCTGCGACGAAGAATTGATGCAACAAATTTCATAACAAAACTTCAACAAAACTAGTGAAGCAAAAAACAGGTAGAAATGAAAGTTGAATAGAACAACACAAACAGTGTAAGAATACGTATTAGAGAATAATTTATACGGTTATTTTAATACACTTCCAATGAATATAATGTTGACTTATCGCATCCACGACGTGTAATTAGAATCATAAATAGATTATCTTTATTGGTTGTGACATCGTGTTGCAGATTTTTTTGGTATTGTAAACTTGTATTGTTTATGTGATAGGATCATATAAAATTTTTTTGGTAGGTAACCCTTATGTCAAACGAGACCTCTGACCTTAAAATTTCTGGTCCGGCACCAACAAAATCTCGGGATATCGTGTAACAAAACAAACAGAACAGCAAAAAAAGTAAAAATTCTTAAATAGAGCCAAATTTTATTATGCTAACCAACTTCTGACTTCTAATTAAAAATGTCCAGCATTATAATTTATATATAGCACTTACTATTTCACATTAGAATACTCCAACCCAAGTATTTGGATCGGAAGGGTCCGATTTTCACTTGACATAGGGTATTCTATAAAATGACATCATTATTTTCGCTTGATTGGCTGATGCAAATCAATTGCCTGGGTAACTAATTTATACAGTTTAAAGTACTTTATAATTAGTAAAACGGGTACACAAGTACAGGTGTTTAAGATAAAGTTATATTTAAAAATAAACTCTCACAAGCTAGTCCATCAGTCCCAATATGGCTATCGGTCTGGTCTAGTTGGTTTCTGGTCTCAAAAATAACCTATTTTCATATCAAAAATAAACAATTTGTATAAAAGTAATTTATCATTTTTAGCTATCTTTTCGAATAAATTTATGCGATAATGGTTTTTAACTATTTAAAAGTTTATATTATTAACCGGCCTGAACTGATTAAAAGACTAAAACTGAATAATCTTTAACTGGTTAAAAGACTGGGTTTTATTTAGTCTTTTCAGAACTAGAGATGGGCAAGGTAATTACTTATTACGTAAAAAGTTAAATCACACTATGCGCCAATTTAGCATATTGTTGGTTGTAAGTATATATTATTAGTAAATTGTCGCATAATATGATTTGATTTTTTACGTAATAAGTAATTACCTTGCCCATCTCTATTCAGAACTGATCTAACCCTATTCTTAAAATATTAATCTAAATATTTTTGAATTAAGTCTCGTAATGATCAAAAAAAAATTGAACAGGTTCAAATACTATTTAATAATCATACCAAAAATAGAAAGATAAAATAATAACAAATATACTTGTCAGATCTAAAAGCTATGCACAGCCACCAAAAAAATCAGTATAAGTATATCTCTCTTTTGTTGTATACACAACAATTCTGATATTATTGATTGTAAAATATGATCGATAAACAAACCACTATAATTATATACTTCATTTTTGATATTGTTTTACTATGTTACTAGTATAAAAAATTTTCGAACTAATATCATGTATATATTAAGCTTAAAATTAGCATCAGTAACTTCAATTATTGGAAATTGAAACTGCCTAAAATTATAAAATTAATTTTAAGTGTTAATTTTGGTTATGCCTAAATTGGTAACTTCAAGCAGATATCAATTTTATACAACAAAAAAGCAATATGCTTATGCTAGTTTTCTGGTTAAATTTTTCTGGCTGTGCATAAGGATGGGTCCAGCTACAGTCATAACTATTTGGTCACGGTCGTCAACCATAACCGATACTGACTGGTCAGAGTAACTTAGATGACTGGTTGACTGGTGCTATATTCTTAATAAAAATAATAGATACTTTAATTAAACATGATCTGATCATCTAATTAGGAGAAAAATCCATAATTCTGGTCAAAATTGCAGACCATTGACTAGATTTAAAATTGTTTGTTAATGTTTATCTGTATATTAATTAAATTAGTTAATAAAGTATGATTTGTAAGTTTTAGATATAACTAATTTAAATCCAACACATGACATTTATGTCATATAATTATTACAAAAAATAAATTTTTAGATATGCTTAGCGTTGCCAACAAAATTACGTAATATTAATTATCACAAGGAAATAACTACTGGTACATAGTAATTTTTTTTTAATTCACGCAATAAATATATGTTATAGTACGTGATGATTAATCATACGTAATTTTGTTGGCAACGCTAG